TGTGAAGGGAACGAAGTGTGAGAATAAAAGGAGGAACAGAGAGGGTAGTAAGCGTAGTAGAAAGTAGTTATTATTATGTGATAATGATAACGTAGGTATGTTATGAGATTCACATTCAGATTTGTGTAGTAAGAACAGAAGGCCTACGGCCAATGTTATTCCCTTTCTAGTATGCTTCTGTGAGTGTACAGTCTTTTCTTGAAAGAGTTAATTGAAAGTGCGGGTAGCAGGTTCCAAATATTGGTGACTCGGTGTGAGGACCCGTATGCCACGGGTGTTTTGTTAGTTCTTGGGTACTTTCGTGTACAGGATAACCCCGCCCCCCCCCTAGGGATTAATCTATCAGCCCTACTGAATAAAACACCAGTCAACTGAATTTCATTATCTAATACGCTTGACGTTAACCAAGTTTCTGAGGCAACAACCACATCCGGATTTTCGTTATCCACCACTGACCTGAGCTCCTCCATTTTATTTGATAGGCCGCTAGCATTTGTGTAGCATACCTTTAAGTCAGATTACCAGGATTCTTCTTGGAATTCTGTCCTGGTTAATTCTTTCCAATTGTTTGAAGCGCTAATTATTCTTCTGGTGTTTACTCCCAGTTCCAGGTTCAATGTGTCCCTTAGTTTTCCTCTTTTTTGTGACAACTTACATCGTCTGGCTAAGAGTCGACGTCAAGCATCTATCCCGTTCATAATATACTAATATGATGGTCATCTACCATATTTCAGACCTAATCCAAACATAATTTTGCACTGGTAGAAATAGACACTGTTATGACTACGAACGTCATACTCTTAGAATTCGATCGTAGTGACGTCGAGTTGTGGTTCGCCCAACTAGAATATTATTTCACGAAACACAACATAAATTCTGAGGGACTTGCTACCGGGATTTATGCTCCGTCTCTCCTTCTCCATTAGGGTGCTGGAATCAAACTAACGTTCTTTTGATTATGAAGCTGGTTGAACCGATATTCTTACGGGAGCCGGTTGTAGTAGGAATCTCGTGCAACAACTTAAGTTGTGGCTAGGAGTTAACTAGAGGCATCTTTTTAATATTATTACATTATAGTTCTAGTATTTATTTACTTCTTTGCTTTTCATGGGCACTTTATTTCATGTAATAATAATAATAAATTTTCAAATAACAGTCTGTGACATGAGGCGTGCCAGTTTACAGGCAAAATCAAGTTGTTACAGCAGTTACAGTCTTCACCGTAGTGGGTTACTCGGACAATTTAATATTTTATAAGGTATGTCGGTCATGGAGATATGAACAACAACAATTCTCGCATGTTAATGTAAATAATATTAATAAGATTCGTACTGTTAATTTGATGGTCGGCGCGATGTATAAAGGTTGCGTTGCGACGTCCAACTGTTGGTCAAGAATAAATCCACGTTGAGTTGCAAGCTTCTAGAGACCGTGACCTTATATCCCTCTGGAATATCTGAGGCAATAATGATGACGCGGGATGAAGTCACCTATTGCATATGTTTTTTTCGGTGGCATATCTCGAGGGCGACCGAAAAGAAGAGAAAGAAAAGGAGGGGGAGAGAAGCATAGCAGACAATGATCATGCTAATCGAAGTTGAGTAATTGGTGGAGGAATAGCCAAGGTATGGCTTTTTAGAGTGATTCTCTTTTCTAAGTCACTTTTCATGTGTAGCGTGGCGTCGAGTTGGAATTAACTATGAACACCGCTACCAGGAAACACGTGCCAATTAAATCAGAAGGCGAAGGTTGAACGTAACCAAATAAATCCATAAAATCCTCGAGAAGCCAAATATCAGAAGACAGTTAATGGACTAAATCGAGATATATTTGCTGGCGATCTCGTGGTATTGAAAGGATACCGAGATCGTGCCAGGATACAAGCTTGGTTGCAGAACGTAACCGAATTCGCGTGAAGTCACAATCAAAGTGTGAGAATAAGAATGGAAGCACAATACAGCTGTCATTAGCACGGTCAAACAAAAGCGCATTAAAACAAACACTGGTACAGTTGGTTATAATAATAATTGTTTTTATTAAACCAGTCGTGTTCTCGTGATAAATGTGAGGCACCACACATGAAAGAGCATAACAATAGGTTAAAGAAAATAAGCATAAATAAGGTATGACTGGACAAAAAATCGTATAAATGGAGATGTTCCAAAAAATGTCGAAAGTTGTGGACCAAGCCTAGTTTTAAAATATTGTGATGAAAACAGTACCCTTGCGCGCTTTCCGAACGGGAAGTTTAGTCCTGGCATGGTTTGCATGTCTCAAACTGTTGCTGTGTACTCAGGCAACAAAAGTACCATTACCGAACTAAAGAATCTGTTTTGAGCTATACGTTCGATAGGTTACTTTTCTTTTTGAGTTTTAACAGTTTAGTATTCGACTGTGGTTTTGCCTCAGCTCAATATTCGGTTTTTAAGTTTTCAAAGTCAAGGCTAGTTTCGGTTTATCCTTATATTTTGTACCACTACTTTTTATCCATTTCATCCGTTATTAGTATACTGTTTTTAACGGTCATAGGTTTTGCTAGGATCAGGCATGCAAGCGAAGAAAAACATAAGAGCCGACAAGCAAAAATATGTGAAAAACGTAGCAATGACAATGGAAAAAGCCGTAAGTAAAGGAAATATGAAACAATATATGACACAACGAAGAAACTGACAAGGAAATATAGTAAACCAGAGAGACTAGTCAAGGACAAGAAAGCAAGAAAGCCAATCACTGAAATTCGGAAACAGTGGGACATATGGGTGAGACACTTCGATGAACTCCACTGAATCCACCAGATATCGGACCAGCATCTACAGACCTTCCTGTATATATGTGCATAATATGTATAATATAATATATGAAGTCTACTTATGTTCGTATCTATAATTATTGCTGTTATTATTGTCATTATTGGTCCCCCAACATATTAGATATTCTTTTTATCTCTTCTTATCCTTCTAAGCATATTTAATCCCTGATTGTCCTTTGAAATTAATTGTGACTTTCATAGCATCATTCTTAATTATTATTGCACAAATGTTTATAATAATATCCGGTTTCACTCTGTATATTATTACATAAATCTACATGTGCAGTAAAGGATTTATTTTATTTTTCTAAATTGTTGGTTTACTTCAGGGGTTGATATTCATTACACAATTATTATTATTATTATTATTATCATGGTTGAACCCTTTTATTTGGTGTTCATTTCTTTTCTCTCTCTTTTTTCCATCTAAATAAATATTATTCCTAACTTTACAAAGTTTTTGACAGACAGCAACTTGTGTTACACTTGAATTAACTTCTCAGACTCGTTTTATCTTCAATATGCATATATAACTCATACATATTGATATTTCATTAACCGTTTCACTTAATTGAGACTTTCGTAGCGTCACTCCAAACTGTGACTGCACAAACATTTGTTCTAGCGTCATATCTTACTGAAATAATGAGTTATTTTTTCTTAATTATTTTCTATTTTATTTTATTTTTTGAACTAATTTCACGATACATACATGGTCGTTTATTCTTGTTCTGCGTTCATAAACACGCTTATTAAACTGTTCGCTTATTTCACGTCTCCTTTATTTCCATTTCCTTATTTACTTCTTTTCCTTCTTTGAACTTAATTCAATGTTCTTCTCAATTACACATAACCTGATTTATTATTATCCTATTATTATTATTATTCTCTTTTTCAAATATGGCAAATATAATGCTAACATTATTGAAACTTGTGCATTATTGCATTTGTGAAGAAACCATTTTGGGTTTCTTCGCCAAACTTATGTACCCATAAGATGCTTGTGAATAACAATAATATAGCCGTCACCACCAACGATCGAAGAAATCAGCATGGCCACCAGACAGATCAAGAGTGGAAAAGCAGTAGGACCTGAAAACATACCAGTTGAAACACTGAAGTCAGACACAACAGTAACTGTAAAGAGCCTACACGTTCCGTTGAGAAGGATTTGGGACGAAGAACACGTGCTGGAAAGAAGGATAGTTGATGAAGATGCGAAAGAAATAAAATGTGAGCAAGGGAGCCGCTGAGTCCAGGGGCCTATGGCGCAATGGATAACGCGCCTGACTACGGATAAGGAGATTCCAGGAAGATGTGGAATATTCCACGTGCCTGTGCAGCATCATCGATAAACAGAGAGGATCTGATACATACATTAAGGCAAGGTTAGGCAAAGCAAGGACAACATTCCTACGGTTGAAGAACATATGGAACTCAAAACGACTGTCAGCCAATATCAAAGTGAGAATCTTCAATACGAACGTCGAGATAGTTCTACTGGATGGAGCTGAAAACCAGAGAACTACCTAAACCATAACGAATATACTTTGCTCACTTGATACTGTGAAGTTTTATTTGCATTTTAATAATATGTGCGCAGTGGTGACTGTGGAAATTGTTTATGTAGTAAGTGAAAAATTCAGTGAACAAGAAGATATAAAACACTGTGGTTTTTTTATTTTGAAAACTTCTCGTACATTTCTCACTAAAATCAGCAAAGCTGAATAAATGTGGGGGCATCTATGTCTCGGAACTCATTAGGTTTCATTCCAGCTCTTAATAGTCGTCACTGATCTTTCACTGAACTTCATTTCATCACTTTTTTATCTTCACAGACGACATTACATCATGAGGACCAATCCCATCTTTGTTCAGCTACATTCTAGCTTTACAATCCCTCGTGTTGCAACCAAAAGATCTCCTGCTCAGTGATAACATAGTTAATGACACTAGAAACCTTACTTTCTACAGAACAAACGTATTCATTTATACTCTAGACTCATTGATTCCCAATCAACTAGTATGTTCATTAGGATAAGTACAGCCAAGTTTCTAGGCCATCCATATTGAAAGAGATCTGGAAACAAGAACCAAATCTTAATACCAAGGGGTGGGAGCAAAGAAATCAACCTGTTTGAACAAGCTCGTCTCGATGACGTCATATATTGATTCTTGTTAGTTGAAGATACTTTTATTCTGGGGTTTACAACTTACAAGGTCATCCCGGGGGTATGGTTTTATATTGTTACTCATATTTGTAAATAAAATCTCTAGTCCCCATACTTTTGCAAACTACTAGGAATTCATAGTAAAACATTACTAACTTGTAATCACCACATTTTCCCGAACAGGGAACACTATGTGTTACATGTCTACCAAATGTTAGTGTCTTAAGACACTAACACAAAGGTGAAGGCATAGGAAGCCAAACCCATTGAAAATAGATTCAGATATTTGGAAGCTGTATGATCTACATACCGTTTGGCTACGCTTTACATGCTTTCACGTCTCCGAAGTCCCCACATTATTTCGTAACTGTATTATTCGGTAAGAATTCTGGTAAGATTTCTTACCACTCAACAAACCGAATAATACAGTAGCCATTAATGGCTACGAACTATATTAGGCCTAAAAGACCTTAAAGTGAATAGAGAATATATCCCAAAAAACTTTCCTAAAAGGTTCTTTTGAGTTGTGTCGTAGTGTTGAAATCTTATACAACAGGGTTTATCTAGTTACTAATGAGGAGCTATTATTCTACCTGCAAATGGTAAATAATATTTGCCACAAATGATCACTCCAAATATTTTCCACATAGTAGTGTCGTTAACAGTGTAGTTGGGATACTGACCGTTTCTGATTTTTTTTGGAATCAATATTTTACTTCATTTTTGTTTTGTTCAATCCCGGTGAATTTGGTATTAATTCGCTAAAAATACAATATACATCAAAGCATCGAATGAAATCAGTCCAATAAAATAAGTCGGTTCATTAACTTTTGAATTTGGCTGTCAGCCAGTCTAGATTACCAAGTTTTAATCTACACAATGGTCGTATTGTACAGATATGGAGGTTGAATAACATCGCCTTAAGTTTCGTTTTCACGACTTTTAAGGTGTAACAAATTGAATCATGAAAATTTGTGTCAGTGTTCTAGGTTTACACTGTGATCATTATTGTCCTTACCCATTTGTGTTTGATTTCACTTGTTTTTAGATGACTTCATTGTATGCTAAAAAGATGACAATGCTTGCTGGACGAATATTCAGAGATGTTGGCAAACAAGTTGATAGCAAATCAATGAAAGTTGTTCGAATAATGAGTGAATTACCTCGCCCAATGATCTTAAAAGATTATTATCCTCCATTAGAAGAATATAGTAATATTTTACAAAAACTACGCTATCTGGGTTTGTTTAGAAATGAACATGCAGATTTTCGTGAAGAAATGGCACGTCTACGTCAATTGCGTGGCAAAGGGAAACGGAAAAAGGGTGAAAGTAAACGAGGACTATCACAATAGTGACATTATTTACTTTGTTATTTGTTTTCATAAAAAATATTTTGTATATATTTACTAGCAGTTTGTAAACAGTATCGAATCTTTAAAGTAATACTATTATGTGTTGAAATAAGGTTTGTTTTTTACTAATTCGAATTCCATGTGGTGCTCTTTAGTTATCAACTCTTTACTCAAGCAAATGTTACTGAAAGAAGTAGGTCATATCTATAGATAACACTGACCATGTTTTGCATTATTGTACTAAATTATAGTTTAGTCCGAATTTTAAACATCTCTTATCTGTAATAGTTGTGAAAAATAAATTGTCGTTAATGCAGTTGTCAAGTTAGTCGATTTAACCTACTCAATGTTGATTGGGGTCAAGAAATGTCCTGGTTTTTCTGAATATATAGATATTTTAGGTTACGAAACTGACATTCAAGTTAATAAACTCAGCTTCATCAGTCAACTCAGCATAGACAAACACAAAGGTAACTAGTCCAGCATTGGCTGTACGGGTAAAACTTGTTTCGACCAATAAACAAAACGGTTATTTCACAACTTGTCAGTGAAATGTATGAAATAAACATTACGCGATAAAAAAGTCTCATTCACGACTAGTCAAGTTATAATGCACAAATAAGAACAAATGTTTAGAATAACATTTAAGTGACAATGCCAAAAAATAATCTCTGTAGTTGATTCGGCTTTTTAAAAATCAATCCAATTCATTAATCACAAGTAAGACAACTATCAAAATACTATTCCTAATCGGGTGACATCCTCTTTAGTCGTGTTCAAGAGATTCAAGACCGCTCCTTTTGTCACAAATATAACTGCATTTGTGGCATTTTAAATCAAATAAATTTCGACTGTGAATTGTATGAATAGACGTATTGCTCAAAATATGATGGCCAAATCGAGAGGGTTGGGAAATCCTGATTTCAAAACAATGGAGTACATGAGCTTCAGGATCCTATGGAAACGAATGGCGTATGAACCTATTGTCGGTTACCGGTTACTATGGGACTGTGTCCCTAACGTTGCTCCGCTGTCTTTTGCATTAGACCTCTTGGTCAAAAACTTAGGGAATGACATTCTAAGAAAACCACCCACTACAGTCTGGGCGCCCGGGCAGTATCCCACAAATCATTCAGAGTCACAGTTAGAGATGTCAATAAGCTATCCTGATCGCAATTAACTTACCATAATACTGAAATTACTTACACTAAAATGTTTGCTCTATATTTACGCAAACATGGAATTTATTATCTCAGTTTTCAGTCAGTGTAAGGTATGTTTTTCTTACAAGATAAACTATTATCGTAAAGTATTCTTCCAATCACATTTCCAATTGGAAAGAAAACTATGTATGGGTTAGAAGGACTTATTTTGGTAGGTAAAATATGATACGATGTTTTGACACTGTTGACCAATGTCCTACTTACTTTTAATCACGTATATATGTATTGGATAAGATATGACAGTATTTTTTGCATTTTGCTTTGCTTACATGTATTCTTGTATACTTGCCAGCCAATACTGTTGGAATCGTAAGGCCTGTGACACATTACGGAAAGGTACTTCTCGAAGTGGCTGGAAAGTAAATTGGGTTATAAGTGTTCTTGGGGACTTTGGAGCATAAATACAAGGAATAACTGCTTAACGCCATTCATATAGGAATATTTTATGAGTAGTTTTGGATGTCTTAAATACGTACTTATAATGTCTGACTGAATTCGACCCAGCTCCGCCTGGTGCCCTTCTGGGGCTACTGCCGTTCCCAAACACGGATAAAGGAGGAGGGTTGGGAATGTGGTTAGCGACCCCATTCTGTAGAAAACCAACTCGATAAAAAACTCTAACCATAAAAAAATTGTTCAAACAATTTAAATTCTGCCCTGGGAGTCAGAAAGTCTTCATTCACAAGAGTTATGACGCCTCATGGTGAAAGCCGAATTCCTTCGGAAGTCACTAGGCTGATGCCCCTTACCATAATCAGAGCAATCATTTATTTAGGTACATGGACTACTCGTACAATGTAGGAGATCGGGAGATTTTTCCAAATTGCTGCAGAAATGAGATATTGGTGAAAATCCATATTACAAGATCAGATGTGCTACTTTTAGGGTCGACTTTTTATCGTCCTCTTTTACTATTTTATGGTGGTAATATACCTCTAGGTGCCTATTTTATAAAGGAAACACCTCACTGTCATCACATTTCAGTACAGTCAACAGTACATCTTTGACCTAGGACACTAAATCGCTCATATTAGTCCTATGGTTCACCAGCCTCCGAATGCCCTGGTACGGCCGAGAGTGGGGAGAGTCCGCTCTCCCACTCGAAATACTTTCACACGGCCGCGCGTATACAGCCTCTGTCAGGGAAGTCCTACTCATTGCCTTCTCGTGGCGAGGGTGCTGTTTACGAAAATGAGAGGACGAAAAGTGAATGTCCGGCGCTTTAATCAATCAAGGATGAGTTTTACCACCAGTTATCTGTTCTTCTCCAGAAAGTGCGTTCGACAGATATTGTAGTACTAGCCGGAGACTTGAATGCTCAGGTCGGGCGTCTAGGCACAGAAGAGAGTCGTTTAGGTGGCCGATGGGGACTCGTTGGTCGCAGGTCAGATAACGGGGACCGTCTACTGCAACTTTGCACAGACCACAACCTGTTTCTGGCTAGCACTAACTTTCGGCACAGTCATCGCCGATGTGCCACCTGGCGTCCTCCCTCTGCATCTCAAGCCTGGACTCAGATTGATCACATCGCGATCAGCTACCGCTGGCGTGGTTGTGTACAAGACTGCCGCTCCTTTTGGAGTACCTATCTGGACTCTGACCATGCCTTGGTCTGCGCCAATCTTGCCTTACTTTTCAGTGGACAACGAAGTGACCGCCATCAACGGATTGATGTTAGCAAGCTGGTTGCAACTTCTGTTGCAAGTAAGTATCGAACCGAGCTAGCCTCTAGGCTAGCTACCACTCCACCGAAAAGTATAGATGAGCATTGGTTGCAATTGCATGACGCCATGAAAATGGCGGGAACAGTCAGTTGTGGGTTTGCGAAACGTCCCGCTTTAAGCACTGGGTTTCTTCTGGTTCCTTACAACTCATTGAAGCCCGTCGGTCTACTCCGGGTGACCGTGAGTTTGACCATAAACGAAGGATGTTACGTAAGGAAATTGGGCAAAGCTTGCGTAAGGACCGAGAAGCCTGGTGGTCGATGCGTGCTAATGAGCTGGAAGCAGCAGCTGCATCTGGTAACTACCGGAAGCTCTTCCAGCTCATCCGAGCCACTGGCAGCAAGAAGTCTGGTGTGAGTGAAACAATCTGCGAGGATGATGGGATGCCAATCACTAACATCCATCGACGTCTTGGACGATGGGCAGAATTTTTCGAAGGGCAGTTCAACTGGCCTGCTGCTCCGGCAACATCGGTCAGACTGTCCTGCCCTCCATGGCCGGTGACGACTGATCCACCAAACGAGGAGGAAGTCCGCAAGGAACTCCAACTCTTGAAGCGTTACAAATCACCTGGCCCAGATGACTTACCTCCGGCTCTTTTTAAAGATGGTGGTGACTTTTTGACTAAGGAATTGACGACGTTGTTTACAAAGGTTTGGGAACTAGAGTGTACCAACGTCATGGAATGAGTCGATAGTTGTCCCTATCTTTAAAAAGGGTTCACGTCGTTCCTGTAACAACTATCGGGGGATAAGTCTACTTCCGATTGCGTCCAAGCTATTGGCTTCCGTCATACTTCGTAGGTTGTTCAAAACCCGAGAAAGATTGACTCGCGAGGAGCAGGCTGGGTTTCGTTCTGGTCGAGGATGTATTGATCATATCTTCACCCTCCGCCAAATGTTAGAACACCGCCATACTTATCAAAGGCCAACAATCGTAGTGTTTCTTGACATCAGGGCTGCCTTCGATTCGTTGGACAGGACTGTTCTCTGGGATTGTCTATTGAAGAAGGGTGTGCCTGAGAAGTTTATTAACATCCTAAAAGCCCTATATAAAACACCTCAGGCAGAGTGAGGGCATACAACCACCTCTCTCCATTGTTCCATTCGAGCAGTGGGGTTAGGCAGGGTTGCCCAATCTCACCATTCCTCTTCAACTTTGCCATCGATGACATTCTGGAAACAGCTCTGATGAATGTAAGTAATGGTGGTGTGGATCTGTTGCCTGGAGAAAGACTTCTCGACCTTGAGTATGCGGACGATATTGTCTTACTGTGCGATAATGCCCAAGGCATGCAATCCGCACTTAATCAGTTGGCAATCAGTGTCCGTAGGTATGGTATGTGCTTTGCACCTTCGAAGTGCAAAGTACTTCTACAAGACTGGCAGGATTCCAATCCTGTACTCACCCTGGATGGTGAGCAGATAGACGTAGTTGAGAAGTTCGTGTATCTGGGTAGCTGCATAAGTGCTGGTGGGGGTGTGAGTGATGAGATCAATGCACGAATAGTGAAAGCCAGAGCGGCTTATGCCAATCTGGGCCACCTTTGGCGCCTTCGTGATGTTAGTCTGGCTGTAAAAGGTCGGATCTACAACGCGTCGGTGAGAGCAGTTTTGCTCTATGCTTGTGAAACCTGGCCTCTCCGAGTTGAGGACGTTAGACGACTCTCTGTGTTCGATCATCGCTGTCTCCGAAGGATTGCTGACATTCAGTGGCAACACCATGTCAGTAATGCAGAGGTTCGGCATCGTGTGTTCGGGCACAGAGATGATAATTCAATTGGTGTCACCATCTTGAAACACCGACTTCGGTGGCTTGGACATGTTCTCCGAATGTCGTCCCAGAGAATTCCACGTCGTGCATTATTTGCCGACTCTGGGACTGGTTGGAAGAAGCGGAGAGGTGGTCAGTGCATGACATGGTGTCGTGGTATGAAAGAAAGCTGCAAAGGACTGGCTTGTGTTGGTCCTTCACGACTCCCTGGTTGGGGTCTGAGAGATGGTGCTACACAGTGGCTAGAGACGTTATCAGATATGGCTCAGAATAGAAGCCAGTGGCGATCCTGCTGTAACCTTCTTTTACTTTCTTCATAAAAAGTGGTTGTGTCTCCCTTACCTGAAAGATTTCTTCTGATTGTACCTTTCCGTTCCCTCGTTACTACCACACTACCTTACACCAATCTCTTCGTTATTGTTCTCTTTTTCTTTTGCGCTCCTTAGTTTTTTTTCTACTTCTCTTCGAATTCTCATTGTTTTGTGTGGCGCATATATATTGGCGCTCTCTTGTACCAATATTCATGTGTTCAAATAATAATAATAAATAATAATTGCGATATTAAATAATCAACCCTGACTATCATGTCTAATTATCAGTGAC